GACACTTGGACCCAGCTGTCCCTGTGATGTCTGGACCCAGCTGTCCCCCCCATGACACCTGGGCCCAACTGCCCCCCGATACCTGAACCCAGCTGTCCCCCCATAACACCTGGACCCAGCTGACCCTCCTTGCATCTAAGATTTCCCTTCCCCTTTTTCCAGCACTTGGAAATCAGATGCAGAGTGTTGAGGGGGGTGGGGGAGTGCTTTATTTGAGTTGGATGTGATTTGAACCAGAAGTCATGTTTCCCTGTAATAATATGTGGTTTGGATTCACCGTTCCTATCACGTGGTGGGTTTTCATCTATGGGAGAGTTTAGACTGTGGGCCTCTGAGGCTAGAGAAGGAGAGAGAGGGGAGGGAGGGAAGGGGAAGAGAGGAGTGGGGAGGGGAGGGGACGCTCAGGCAGTGGGCAGTGGGGAGGGAAGAGGGCACTCTGGCAGTGGGCAGTGGGGAGGGAAGGGGGTGCTCAGGCAGTGGGCAGTGGGGAGGGAAGGGGGTGCTCAGGCAGTGGGAAGAGCATGGGGGTATAGCAGGCAGCTTGATCACAGCCTGGAGGGCTTTCAATCTAGATATGGGGACAGAGGAGGACACATCTGGAGAACATCTGTGGATGCTTAATGCCTGATAAGGGATTCTTTGAGGGACATGGACATCTCATGGAATTCAAATCTTGCTGTTGGGGATTCCTTGAGGTGGGTCAAGCATGGCCTCCTTCCACCTTTTTTTGAGGCAAAATTCACATCACATAAAAGTAACCATTTTAAGGCATACAATTCTGTGCAACTACTATCTAATTCCAGAATATTTTCTTCCCTACTAAAGAGACCCCACATCCAATATGCAGCCAGTCCTGTAGTCCCTCTTCCCAGCCACTGGCAACCATTAATCTGTATCCACCACTGTATTTGTCTGCCCTAGAGATTTCAGAGATGGGGTCATACAAGATGTATGTATGCTCAGGTGTCTGACTTATTTCACTTAACGCAGTGTCTCCCACCACATGGCTCCTGTCAGAGCTCCGGGTCTCTTCACTGTGGAGTCTTATTCCATTGTGTGGCTAGGCCACACCGTGTTGATTCATTCATGTGCTGATGGACGCTTAAGCGGTGTCCACCTTTGGGCTACCGTGAATACGGCTAGGCTGCAGTGCACATTCGGAGTCCTGGTGTGGCGCTGTGGGTTAATGCGCCGGACTGCAAAGCCATTTGAACTGCAGGGTTGGTGGTTCAAGCTCACCAGCTGCTCCTCGGAAACCCTATATAGGTTTGCTATTATTGGATGCATGCCTAGGAGTGGGCTTGCTGGGTCATATTGTAGTTCTGTGTTTATCTCTTTGAGGAACCAAGCATTGTCTCTTAACAGTAAAAGCCACCAGAGGTTGACAGAGGTGTGGAGGGGAAGAGGCAGGGTACTTGTAAGCCCTCATAGTCTAGGGTGGGTTAGTTTAAGGTTTCACCCCCCCCCCAATCAGGTGTCTATCTGGTGGGTACAAGGATGTTGAATGGACTGATATGTGAGTAAGTTGGTGGGTGGATAGGTGGGTGGAAGGATGGATGGTTAGATGGGTGGATGGATGTGAATGGTAGATAGGTAAATGGGTAGATGGGTAGATGGGTAGATAGGTAGGTGAGTAGATGTGTAGATGAGTGGGTGGGAAGGTAGGTTGGTGGATGGGTGGGTGGGTGGGTAAACTGGGTATATGAGTGGGTGTATGGGTGGGTGGTTGGATGGACAAGTGGGTGGGTGGGTAGGTTGGAGCTGGATGGATGGATAGCTGGATGGATGGGTGGGTAGTTGGA